CATTATATGTATTATGTACGTTACATAAAGATAGCCAAAAGAACCCAAATATGATCTGAAAGAAGTTTAAAAAAATAATGAATTTGATTGTCTTTCCTCGTTTGATGAGCCCCTTTCCTTGCGGAATAAATAGGAAAATCTGATTCTTATTGTGTAATAAAAAAATAATGGGTATGTTTATGTAACACCCATAAGGTGATATAAAAAAAATTTTTTATTATTTTTATTTTTAATTAATATATAAATAATAAAATCAAAAAAAAATTCGTATAATAAAACGAATGTTATACAATCATACCACGCGATTCCGTTTTTTTGATTTTTCTATTTATTCTACGCATATCGTTAAACATTATTTTATTTTATTTTTTTTTTCATGAACCACCTGTCAATGTTCTTTTGACAGAACCCTAAAAACCATAATTTCTTAAATTTCTTTCATTTGTAATTTTAAAGGAGTAAATTATTCATAATTTCTCGATTCCTTTCTGTTCGGAGAATCGTGTACTTTTTCGGAAGGGATGTCCCCTTTTTATTTTTTTTAAAAAAAAAAAACAAAAAAATTTTTTAATTCTCTGCAAATAAACTTCATATTGAGGAATAAGATGTATAGTTACCCTGCACCATGATCGGAATTTTATTTATTTTTTTTTTTTTTGACTTTCGTACTATTCAGCACGTTTTAAATTTTTAATTTTGAAAATCACACGTCGAAAAAAAAGAAAAAAAAAGAAATAAAAAAAAATAAAAGAAAAGCAAAAAATAATTTCATTGATTTGGCTTAGCCGAGAATTTGACATTTGACAAACTACTAATAATGTCCATTTGAGGAAATCTACAAACCATAAATCTTTTGCGTGCTTTCTTTTGACGTGAATCAATTATTTTAATTAATTGAACTCTTTTTCAAAAGGTCCCGATTTTCATGGGGGATTTGACTTTTTTACGCACAATAAAAGAAAAAGAACATATTCTCATGGTTGTAAGCATTGTAAACTTTATCTCGTAAATGAATCCACGTTTTCATGATCATTTTGTCGTGCCCTTTCATACCTTTGACACGATAGCATCACCCATTCGGTTTCAAATCATCACATATAAAGTGCATAATATAAATTAAATCCCGAACAATCACCACCTCCGGCGTAAGCCAATTATAATTGCAAGTTGGATCTTCATTATCTACTAGATACGAATTATTAAAGAAACTGTAGTGTAAAGTGTTACCAACATGGATGGTATTATTATTACACTAGACTTATCTATTCCATCGGTCAAAATAAAAAATGAATTGGTCAATCATTCAAATTCAATATAATAATACTACTGTGTAAGATTTACTAAATATAAAAAAAAAATTTTTTTTTTTTTTTTTTTTTTCTTGCATTATTTTGCCTATTATATACCTTATATAAAAATGAGTCGCTTTCTCTGTTTCTCTGCTTTCTACATTTTCACAGAAAATTCTCTCTCTTTTTTTTTTAAAAAATTTTTTTTTTTCTATTGTATATATCCAAATATATATAATATATTATTCCAAAAGACTTTTTAAAATTTTTTTTAAAGTTTTAACGAATATCTTTACGAAAGTCTAACCCACAAGCTTTTTTGAAAAAACCTCGTGGTTCTTTTTGTTGGAAGAACAACATTTTAAGAAATTTATTTTGCACCTCAAACGGTTCAAAGGTTTTATTATTCCAATCTTCCCACAAATATTTACGATAAACCAATAAAAAAACCTATTAAAGGAGGTTTTTACCCCTTTCAATATAAGAGAATATTTTTTATTTTTGGCTCGACCGATAATCGCATTAAAAAAAAAAAATTTTTTTTTTTTGCTGACGAGCCTTAACTATAACGGACCAAAAAAAAAAAATTATATTACCTGTAAGTATTTATAATCATGATATCATGAATGATTCTTTTTTTTTTTGTATAAATAACCCACCCTTCATAAAATTTTTCTTAATTTTTTGTTCGTAATTTATTTTTGCTTTCAAAATTTTTTTTTTTATATTCAGTAAAAAAGTATAAAAGAAACCTTCCTTAAAAACGGACATAATATTTTAAAAATATCACATTTTTCAATACCTTTGAATCTAACGACACATTATTTTTTTTATTTATCTTATAGACGCTTTCATAAATTGAAAGTAAACATCAAGTATTTGATTGCCAACGACACACAAAAAAAAATAGAACATTTAATTCATTGTGATCATTAATAAAAAAAAAAAAAAAAATCCTGAACGAGTGAGAGAATTTTGATATCAAATAGAACTGGTTTCGTTTGAAATAATTATTGAAACACGAAAACAATAAAACTTATTTGATCCTCGTCTCTTTGTAATTGAAACCAAAAATACCCTTTCGAACACGTGACATACAATCTCTCCTTGTGACTACATAATTTATATATATATATATATAATTATTTTTTTTTCTTATCATGCGTATTTGGCAACAAAACACCACAACACAATTTGTTTATCAGATGTCAGGAGATCATCATTGTCAACATCATTGTGAAATTTTAAATTTTGCTAGACCTGGTACGCCAACTGATTCTCACACAGCCGCTATGACGGCTGAACGAAGAAATTTACGTGAACTTCCGAGACTTTCTATTAACACGGAAGTTACTAACAAGAATTATCATCCAACGAAAAAGTCACCCCATCAAGGTGATGAGAGTGAGGTTACACAAACCAGTCCTCGTGTAAAATTCGCCATCGATTCAAATCAACATCGACGTACTCGAACTGAGGGCAAAATTACTGCGCGTCCTGACGATGAGTCAAAAGGGGATGAGGTGAAAAAACCTAGGTACAATGCGAAACAATTAAGAGCCTATCGACGTGCCTCCGCACCCGCCAAAGGAATGGATTATTATATTAAGAATACCAAACGGACAGAGGATAATTTAAATGTCATAAACTTTTTTAGTAATAATAACCCTATACCCGAGGTTAAGAATGAAGACGAACCTGATAAAGGTATACCAACCGTTCATGTTCACCCTCATGACGACGACGATGACGAAGTCATGAAAAATGACAATCGTAAGATGTCAGTGATGTCCATGTCATCATCAATCACATCCGTATCAAGCATTATATCCCCTTGTGACCCCCCATCACTATCTCCGTGTTCTTCAACTTCATCTATAAATTCCTCGATTGATATGCTTAGTCCCGCGCTTGCCAAGCAGCAAAACTTTCCACAAAATATTAATCCTTGGGAAATTAGGCAAAAATCGAAAAATCTCTCTAGTGACGAGAGCCATTTTAAAACCGAATCACGTTCTCTACCTGATATTGTACCTTACGATGCGGAAACGCCGTGGTCTCCCGCTGCCATGTTTTTGTCCAATTTTGCTCATTCTACCAAAAAACCCTTGCCTGATGAAGAAGGTCAACAAGTTGGAGAGTACATCATTGGAAAAGTAATCGGACGTGGTGGATTTTCCACCGTTAAGCAAGCTTATACGATGAATAGTTATTCAGGTTCTATGGAATCTGTTGCTGTCAAAATCGTAAGGAATCATCCTGAATCTCAAGATAATGATCGCATTCAGGTGAGATATTTTTTTTTTTTTTTTTTGCAAATTTGGTAAATAATAATGATGATGATGATAATAATATGAATATTTTTATTTTTATTTTATTTAGGCATTGCTTGAAAGGGAGATCGCAATTTGGGCTAGACTTGATCATCAAAACATTGTACCAATGTTATCATTTGAAGAAAATGATTACGCTACATTCGTATTTTCGGAGTATTGCCCGAGAGGAACACTTTTACAGTATATCAAAACACATGGTCTATGCGAAGGAAAAGGATTGGACGAAGATGAGGCAAGAAACATCTTCTTGGAAATAGCGGAAGCAATAAGATACCTTCATAATGATATGAGGCTTGTCCATAAAGACATTAAATTAGACAATATATTATTGGATAAAGATGATACATGGAAAATTTGTGATTTTGGCTTAACAGAGTTTCAAAACGAAGAGAATGGATTTAATAATATATTATATAACGATTTAGTAGGAGGGTCACTAGCTTATTGTGCGCCTGAACAGTTAAGATCTCCCACCCCGCTTAAAGATGCTTCCGTTGACATATGGAGTTTAGGGGTGGTCTTATTTGCCATGATCACGGGTCAATTGCCATTCTCCGATTCTTTTGAACCGAGGTTACAATTGAAAATTCTTAATGGACGTTACGATGAGAGTATGTTGGATTTTGCCGGAGTTAGTGATGAATTAAAAGATTTGTTAAAAGGAATGTTTAAAACAAAACCTGATCAACGTTTAACAATCTCTCAAATATTGGAACATCAATGGTGTGAACGATGAAGTGGTCAAAAAAATAAAAAAAATAAGAAAATAAAGAAACTAAAAAAATTGCATATTCTCTCAGAGGAAAATAATTCTCTTGGGTATAGAGGTGTGACAACAAAAATATATATATATATATAAATCTGTGGGAATATGGAACTCAATAAAACAAAAATGAACTTTCTAACAAAAAAAGAAATTATATATATATATACATATATATATTTTCTATTAAAAAAAATTATATTATATAAAATGCTTCTTAAATTACAACATCCCCTCCCCCCTTTTTTCATTGTAAATTTACTTTCCTTTCTTTTGTATTATTTGACACTTTACATTATTTATTTTACTTACAAAATAATGAAATACTATTATTTTCGACCTTAAGTATTTTGTTTTTTTTATACATAGTTGAAAAAAAAAATAAACAAAACAAAAACCCAAAAAAAAAAAAAAAAACAATAGTAATAATATATATATACATATATTTTCATTTCAAATATGTTTTCATTTCAAATTTTTTTTTTTAAAAAAAAAAAAATAAAACTTTAAAAGTATTCTCGTAAATAAAATGATTTGAATAATGGGTTTTTCATTTGTATAAATAATAAATAAATCTTCGTAATTTATTCCATCAAAAAAAAAAATGATTATTTATTTATTGATTAATCCAAACTTTTCTATGGAAATATTGTCACCATTTTCAATAACCTCGCCTAATTTTCTATCCGTTTGTAAGATATTCTTGGTTTCCTTATTGACTAAGATTAATCTCTATGATAAAAGTAGGAGATCAAAAATCATTTAACTTTAAATCCAAAAAGAATTTTTCAACTAAAAATCACGCTTACTTCTGGATCATCCGATGTGAGTTTATTATTAATATTATTGATCTTGCCAGTTGTTGCTATCTTATCAAGGGATTTACCAACGGTCCACTCCTGATAATCAGAAAAGTAAATAATAAATGAATGTGAAAATGATAAGATAAAAAAAAAATGGTACTAAAAATAGGAGGTACTTTATTGAAAAACATTGGTTTGTTGGGCACTTTCGAATCACTTGGGAAGTCGACTGAAAGATATATACGTGAATTCGCGGGTATAGAAGAATCACCCTACAATGAAAAATGGATGGATTAATCATAATGCCATTATTTAATATTAGATTACATAAACGTTTTGACATACCTGAGCTTTGGATTTCAACTTCATCATTTCAATCATTTTATTCTTCTTCTTTGGTTTATTTGTTATCGTCGTACTTTTCGATGATGAAGAAACGATCTCATCAGACTTGAATTTATCACTGCTAGATTTCTTTATGTATCTCGAAATCATTTCTTCTGCCATCATACGTCTTTTTGCTTTTTCTTCAAAAGCTATATTAAGCGATGCGCATTGGTGAGCTGGGGGATGTCGGTGTCTTAATTATTATTATTATTATTATTTATTATTATTTTGAAACAAAAGGAAAAAGAATAATGAAACATATTGGTTATTCCGATTCCATATGTTAAATCATAAGATCAAAACAAAACAAAAACAAAACAAAACACGCACTTTAAACAAAACATTTCTCCGCACCCATCACATATCACGTAAACCTTTACACCACCTTCTGAAACATTCCTACATTCTGTTATAAAACACTTTTTTTTCGTGGTGGAATACACAGAGGATAAGAGATGCAACGTGCAATTTGATTGCGAATGTTCTTTCAACTAGGGTTGGTTTTAATAATTTTTTAAAAAATTTCTTTTAAAGGAATGAATAAAAAAAAAAAAAAGAGAGAATCTCCCTTACGGCATCTTCGGAAGATTTTCCTTCAGGTTTTAAAATCATGGAGGAACAAGTTTCACAGAATTGAACATTCTAAAAAAAAAAAATTTTTTTAATCAAGGTCAGGTGGTGATGATTTTTAATTGATTGTATTTTGACAATGAACCTAAACTCACCTTTTCATTTTCTTTCCAACGTTCACAATGATGAGAGGTAGGGTATCTATGATCCAAACTAGGATTATATAAATTTCATTATTTATGTTTTCTATTAGGAAAAGGTAATAGGAAAGGTAAAAGGAAAAGGTAATATTTTCCTTTAATTATATAGTTTAAGGAAATTCATACCAATATTTTGTTCCGCAACTCCCACACCAAAAAGGTAAAAAGTCTCTTTGACAAGCGAGTTTAGATAAAAATAGAACGTATCAAATCTCCTTCCTTATTGACATTATGAACTATACAAATATTACCAAAATTGATAAAGACGATAATCAAGCCATATTGGCTTACCAAGCTGCTTGCATCCTTCGAAAGAACAATTGAACCCAACAGAGGGAAACTCCATTTGGAAAGTTTTATTCTATCAAAATAGAAAAAGCCACAGGCGTATGGTTTCAACAAATTCCGTCGGATGGAACATTCCCTATTCAATAATTGGTCCATTCATTTAATTGGTTCCATTTAAAAATTTAAAAATTTAAAAATTTATATAAACATTCGTTTTTTTTCGTTCAAATAAAAAAAAATATCACTAAAAATATCACTACAAAACATTTTTCTCTCTTAATAAAATCATCACTATCTAATTAAAGATAAAATCTATTTCCAAACCTTTAAAAATAATTTCGCAAATTTTAAAAAAAACCCCCCCACAAAAAATGTCTAGCATTGTAGAAAACATGCCTCTTAAATCAGATTTCGACAATTATTATTATTTCGCATTAAATTTATCAAGCATAGTACCAGAACCGTGTCCAACGATTACCCTTGCAAGATTCTCTCTTAGAATTCCCGAAATAGAATATCTTGGAAGAGTTGGTCATTTAAATGATGTTGTTCAAGTTCGCGTAAAGAAAAATAATGATATTGACTTGACAAGGTTGCAAGAAGCTTTGGTAATGGTAAATGGAGTTGAAAGTGTAGAATTGCAAGTTCCAAAAATGAGAATCAAGTATTCATTATAGAATTAACAATATCTTTCGGGACTTCATTTATTTATTGCACTGTAATTAATTAGCATTTTTTATATTAGAATTTATCATTTTAGAATCACAAATGTATTTATCATTTTAGAATCAAATGTAAAGTTTTAACAATTATTTATTCATTTTTTTTTTTTTTTTCCCTCTCATTTAGAGAATCTTTAATTCATTAATTTCGAGTCCTTTATTTATTTATTCATTTCATTTTTTGCATTAATAAATTTATTCTACAATTTAGTTTAATAATTTTAAAAAAAATTTTTAATTTTTTAAAAATGATCAAAATTATCATGTTAAATTCGGATTATTTAACCGATAAAATTAACCACAAAAAAGTGGAGAATTATGCTGCAGAAAACGAAATCAGCAAAGGCTCTAATTAAAATGAAAAGTGAATTAGTAAAAAATGTAAGTCATCAAAATTCGAAAGAAAAAAAAAATGTAAAAAATGCAATCGTACCTCTCTGGGGAAATTCCTTTAAACTCATTACTATTTTCTGGATTAGTTTGTATCCGTAAATTTACTAAAAAAAAAAAATAAAGAAAATAAGATTAAAATCCAATTCAAAAAAAAATTACCTTTTAAAACTTACCAGCCAAAACGAATGATCCTACGGTTGAAATAAATCCAGCAAGAAAAGCATTATATGGATAAAGTCCCACCAAAACGCAATGAATAAATTGAAAAATACCAGAAAATAAAATGTAAACTAAATATGCATCAATCATTTTAAGAACTTGTGGAGTTTCTTTTTGATATGATTTCCATAATCTTTGTACTGCAGCAGAATTTGTTATAGCCATATTTATCAATTTATGTTGAGAAAAAAAAAAATAAAAAAATCAGAGAACGAAGGAGGAGGAATGTTTTTATTTATAATGACCACAAATGAAAAGCTGCCAACGATGCAGATGTTGATTGGTAAAATTTGTAGCAACATCATGTGACCAATAAACGTGTGCACATTGCATTAAAAACTATTAAATACTTTTAATGATAAATACAATATTCACGAAACCAAACGTTTAACTTCATTACTTTTTACCAAAAGGTTACCAATCATGAGGTAATTAAATATTAAATTATGTTTAGAGGTTTTTTGGTTCTCTAGTTATCCAAAATATCATAGAAAAGGTTGCGAGATCTAATTTTCTAGAAATCTGTCAAACTATATCAAAACCATCAATTTTGATTTTCGGCATGGCTTCTCAAATTTTATGAACTTAATTGTTAATGAACCTTCATACTTTTATAGTACTGCAGGAAAATCAAAAGCGGAAATGACAGAGGAAGAGCTCCGTCAACTTGAGGAGCATGAATTTAACACTGGACCTTTATCAGTTTTACAACAATCTGTCAAGAATAATACTCAAATCTTGGTAAACTGCAGGAATAATCGAAAATTGCTCGCTCGTGTGAAAGCATTCGATCGACATTGTAACATGGTATTGGAGAATGTTAAAGAGGTACATTGCCAACAAAGTCATTTCATATCATTATGTGATTCATTTATAATTAAATTTCGAATTTTTATTTTTAGATGTGGACAGAAACACCGAAAGCCGGTAAAGGTAAGAAGGCTAAGCCGGTTAACAAAGATAGATTCATTAGCAAGATGTTTTTACGTGGAGATTCGGTCATTCTCGGTAATTTCCAGATTTTTAATTTAATATGATTTTTTTTTCTCTCGTATTAATAATATTAATCCTAATTCTTTCGTCTTTCCTTGTTAAGTATTAAGAAATACGGTATAATAAAGATTTGTAAATTGTTATTATTGTGTTAAACGTTCAATCAGTATACGAATGATAATCTTACAAAACAAACCTTGGAGATGTTTAATATTAACTAATGTGATAAATATTTACGACCTTTTAATCGTCGTCTTGCAAGAATTTTTTTCCCCGTTTTACTTTTTAATCTTGCTAAAAATCCGTGCCTACGTTTTCTAACTAAATTACTTGGTTGATATTCTCTTCCATATGCTCTGAAACGAACTTGAGTTCCAAAAATATTCGTTGTTTGTGATGGTGGTATAATTTGACTTGGAAAACTTTTTTTATAAAAAATTCAATAAATAAAGATAATTTTTTCGTATCGTAAAATGTCATTATAATTTACCTTACTTTTGATGATTTAAAAGTCCGAATGGAGAAAATCCATTCGTAGAAAATACTTGTTGTATTCGTGAAGTTATCGGACAAAATTTTCGTGCTAAAGATAATAACATTTCAAAAGGCTTGTAGCATTACAAAATTCTTTTCATCAGATTTTAGATTGAACTTATCGGTTACACCATCAGAACGTGATCTTGATGACCATAATTACCGACAATGGCGGGAACCAATCAAAGAAATAAATAGGTTAATTGGGTAATCGCGCAAGCGTGCAAAAAAAAACAATACCTAAAACCTTTTATTTGCATGAACATATATTATTTAAATATTTAAATGAAAAGGAAAAAAAAAAAAAAAATCTATTCGCAAATATGTAATGTTATTAAAAATTATTATAATTAAGATAATTAATTGATTTACAGTATATATACAAAAGCTTAAAAAAAAGTTAAGACCCAATCCAACTGTGATGTAATCGATCAACGTAATCTGAAAAGGTACTTTCGGGTGTGCCAATAAATTTACCACCTCTCGCGGCTACAATCCCATCAATGAACGGAACAAAGTATTGAAATAATAAAGCACCATCTCTAGGGTTTTTTATTTTTCTTAATGCACTTAAATATTTTGTAAAATTTGAAGATAGCATAAATACGCAAGGAAATTCTCTAAGGAATTTCTTTATTCTCGGATCTTTACGAGGTTTATCACTAGCAAGGTAAATGATAGGTAAATGACGTTGCTCCGGAGTAATTGACCGTAAACATTCCTCGGCATATATAGTAGTTCCTTCCGAAAATAAATCTTTTGCCAAGTAAACTTCGCCAACATCCAATGGAGTTGTTTGAGATTCATTTAATAATTTCTTTATGATTTGATCCACATTTTCTTCCGCTTTCGCGCCGAATTTTCTATCCAAACCATTATCACCTAATCTCATATGTACGCCAATATATGCACCTTTTCCACCTAATTGTTTGGAAATCTTTTCGCCAACGTCCAACAAAGCAGGATGATTAATTATCATGCTTTCTCTAACAGTGTTAATAAATTCAATATTCTCTTGGTATTTTAAATTAAATCTAAGAATATGATAAATCGAACCAAAGTGTATAAGTTTGTCTTTACGTTTTCGTAAGGAACACAAATGAATCAGATATTTGAAATTCTCATTTGATACTTGTGTGATATTCTCGTCATCATAATATTGAAAATCATATCTCGTTTCGTCTGCCAATGTGTAAACTTGAGTTTCAGGGTTCGTAATATTTAAATAAGAATAAAGTTCTTTGACATCAAATTTCGTATCATTACGATAAATATAACGAATATGTTTCTTTATAAATTCAAAATTCAATAATTCTTCCCAATCTAATTGCGTAAACTTACAACTTTGATCCTCAACACCTCTGATCTCACATAACCTCGTGCTTTTAGTTAAATTACCATTTAACATATCATATAAAACTTCAAATGGACGATAAGGAATATAGTTCTTCTTGGAAAAAAGGATTGGTGGCATGATCAATGTACGATTCAACATCCATGATAAGAAAACCGCATTTTCAAGACTATTTCTTTGATTATGAAATCCACTATGTGGCAAGTATGTCATGTATCTTTCCTTATTAGAATTAACATCATCATTTGGAACTAAACAACTTGAAGGACTTGAAAAAGAACTTGTTACATCATCATCAACAACATTTTTTTGTTCATCATAGACCAATTGATCACTAGGTGGAAAACATAGCATATATGTAAGTATAAGGTAAATCGCAAGAAATATTACAACGAAAGGAAAGGGTCTTTTTTTCATATTCGAAAATCTTGAAGAAGAAAAGAAAGAGATTACGAATTGACTTTTATATTTTAATATTTAAGATTTAATTTATATTCGAGAAAATTTCGGGTAATACTACTATAAGCGGACTCAAGAAATATTTTAAATGGCCGATATTTTATTGAACGAACTTAAATAAGAAAATATTTTCATGCCTATTAAGTTTTCGATCGTTGATTTACTATTTATAATTCGTATTTATATTCTTTTTAATTAACAGCATTTCCATTTTTTGGTTTATTCAAAAAAAGAGATATTCATAAAGTTAAATTATTTTTGATTTACACAACTTAAATAGATTAATTTGTTTTTAAGATTTTACTTCTTGGAATTTTAATGCCAAGTAGGTCTACAAATAATAATGGAACCCTATATTGAAGATCGAAGATTTCACCTTTAAATTTTCTTGATTTATATGATGTGTGTCATAATTTAAAGATAATTTATAAACTCTTTTTAAAATCCATATATTTAAAGTGTATTAACAAAATTTTTTGTATATATAATATCTTAAATTTATATTAAAATTTAATTTTATATATTTATTTCTATTATTAAATAAGATACTGTATATAATATATATTATACTCAATACTCATTATAAAAATAGATATAATATATTATAGTTATTATTACTAAAATGCAAAAATATATCATTAATATATTATTTCTTTTTTATCTCTAAAATGAAGAGTAAAATTTTACAAAAAGTTTTCAAAAATAAAAATATAGTAACTACAAATAATTAAATTAACTTATTTAAAATCTTTTATAAAAATAAAGATTATTTAAAAATAGAAAATATTAAGAATTAAAATTATCAAGTTAATAAATATTAATATAATATAATATGATGACTATATGAAAACTTTACAATAAAAGAAAGAAAACTACCAAAAAATATTTTTAAGTTAATATTAAATCTGAATTTATTTTATCAAAAAAATAATATTTAATTTATAAAATAAAAAATCTTTTTTGATAGGTTTTTCTTTTTCTAATATAAAATATTATATATTATAAAGTTTACTTATAAAAAATCTTTTAAATATTTAAAATATTAATATATTTCAATTTTAATTAAAAAGTAGATAATGGTAAATTTAAATAGCTATAAATTTAAAATAAAGATAATTATAAAAATCCAGTATATTTAATAATAATAAAATTTTAAATCATTAATTTTATTCTTATAAGATTATTTATAAAAATTTTTTTAATGTAATAATATATTTAATATATTTTAAATTTAAAGAAAAAAAATTTTAAAATTTAGTAAATTTTTTTTTTAAATAAAAGTTATATTATTTCAATATATAATATTTTATAATAAAAAAATAATTTTTTAAATTAATATTAATTTAAATTTATTTTATTAAAAAAATCATTTAATTTTAAAATAAAAACTTTTTTTTTTTTTTGCAAAATGCTTATATAATTTAAAACTAATTTTTATAGTTAAAAATAAAATAAATAAAAATTTAAAAACTTATATTATTATATTATTTTAATATTATACTTTATATAATAAATATTTATCATTATGATCATATAAAAAATTAATAATAATTCTTATTTATAAAAATATAATAAAAAATTAATTAAATATTTATTAATATAAAAAATTTTTTAAAAATAATTTGTTAAAAAAAACTAATATTAAATTAAAAGATCATTAATTATATTAGTTGAAGAATTTTAATACATATTTTAGAATTAATAAAATTTTAAACTAAAAATATTTAATTATAATCTTATTATTATTTTAAAAATATTTAATTTATATATTATTGAACAAATTCTAAATATTTATAAAAGTGTAAATTAATTAGATATATTTATTAAATATAATTAAAAATTTTAAAATAATTTTATTATTCTTTTTATATTAAATATAAGATAGTAACATTAATTATTTTAATTAATAGAAATTTGCATTTATTATATTAAAATATTTTGATAATTTCATAATAAAAATTTGTATTATACAAAATTAATTAAATAAGTATTTTTATTTTAAGTTAATAACATAATATATTATATTACATAACGTAAGTAATTTAAAATTTCTTGATATAAAAATTTATTTGTATATATACTTTCTAGTCAAAAATATTAAATAATATAATTTTGTTACTCAAATTAACATAATTTTATTAATTATAATTTTGATAAAATACATAAAAATGAATTAAATTTTTTTTATATAATTATAAGCTTTTATATTTAAATATATATATATATTTAATGCTAAAAATTTAAAAACTTATTAAATTTAAATGAAATAAAATAATTAGCCTTTGAAAAAATATTTATAGCAAATAAAATATTATAAAGATTTTTGTTATTTTTTATTACTCATCATTGTATTTGATATCATTCTTATAAAAATTATGATGTAAATTATTTAATTCTCATAATAAAATTAGAAAAATAAGATATAATAAAAACTATGGTAATTTAATCTTAAATATTTATAATCTACATAGTTATTTAACTTAAATTTAATTGAATATCTATAGGATGTTTTAAAAAAAAGTTTTGTAATTATACTTTACATTCAAAAATTCTTGAAAAATTAATAGTTATTTTAAAAAAAAAATAAATAAAATTAAAATAAATATTTTAGAAAATTTAATATAAAATATATTGAGAAGTGTTAAACTATAATAGACAGTAATAATTATCTAACTAAATATTAATTATTTTTATAAAAAATTTATTTTTATAAATAAAAATAAAAAAAGTTTATGTAAAATTACTTATTAAAATTTTTTATAATTAAAAATTAAAA